ACTTGTGTGGCAAGTGCTTTACCCACAGAGCCATCTCCCAAGCCCTAGGTTTTAATCTGTAAAATCCATTGTTTCCACTTTGTTTCCCTTCCAGTTTCCCTGCTGCCCTTCCTTCCTCCCACCCCCATCCCCCTCCCCCTGTGTCGTGTTGTTTGAGGCATTGGCAGTTAATACAGAGATGACTAGGACAGACTGAACTACTGTCCTCTAGGAACCAGTCCATAATGGGAATGAGACATGCCAAAAAACATAACCATGGTCCTGTGAGAAATCCTTCAGGGCCCAGAGGAATTGGCCATCTCAGGACAGTCAGACCTACTATTTGAAGTGGTTTGCCAATGCTTTGGGAAAATCTGGGTGACTAGGATGATTCTTAGATGCAGTGGGAGGAGCCCACTTGAAAAAGAGCACACCACATACAGAGTTTCCGAAGCTGGAGAAGTGTGATGAGAAGTGTGGGAGGTGCTGTTGGTGAAGGGGGCAGTGAGGTGAGGCAGGTCAGCAGGGGCCCTGTGAGGAAGCATCTAAACTGCTTAGGGACTATACTTTTTCTTGCAAGAATTCGAACTGGAGAGCCTCCTGTCTGTCTGTGTAGAGAGGTTATAAACACTTGAAGCTCAGGTGTCTTGTTCATCTTTGCATTCTTTATGTTGCCTGGCTCTGGTCTTAGACAAGGTAGGGCAGTGCTGACAGATCTCCTAAGGTGTTGGTAGTCCCTTAGAATCATGCATTCTTGCCGCATCATTAAAAGAGGTTGAGTCAGAGTAGAGCGACTTTCGAATGGACAGGCCAGGGTCTCATTAGATCCTGTACATTGTGTCTCAGCACTCCTGGATTTAAATTATCTGTTTCAGTCTTTGTCTGCCTGCTTGGCTGGGAATCCACCACTCTTCACCTTTGGTGACTGAGAAGACCAAGTTGAGAGGCTTTCACAGCTGCTGTTTCCTGTCTCCAGTGCTTTCTACTATTTCATTCCTGTTGACCATGTTATTTACCGGAGAAGCCTTCACTTACCAACTTTCCCACAACAACCTTAGCATGTGACCATCCTTCAGTTAGTGTCTGAGTTCCCTTCTGTCCTCATGAGCAGATGATGCCCACACTGTCCTAGCTCAGTGCCTGACATTGAGTAGATACTCAGCACACACTATCTTTGCTTCCATGAACGAGTTCCTGAGGTGACTAGGGGAGTGCATTCTCATTGTGTCTGCAGATGAAGGCACTGAAGGTCAGAGGTCACATCACTTACCCAAGATGCTTAATGGATAAAAGCCAGACTACAACTCGGCGACAGCTGCCGGTAGAACCTGTCTCTTGCCTCTAGCAGACATCGGTGGGTCTCCTCATGCCTGCTTCTGTGGCATGAGCCCACCCACCCGCTTGTGGGATAGACAGTACCCTGAAAGAACACAGACTCTGCAGTTGGTTTCCACTTCAGTCCCGCCTCCACTGTTTGCTAGCTCAGTGCCTGGGGCAAGGTGCTCAAGCATTGTGTGACCCAGTTTTCTAGAAAATGGGTTAGTAATAATACTTACTTGAGGGATTGTTGTATTTAAATTAATCCACATAAAATGTTACTAACAGACCCATGGAAATGTTAAACAATTGTTATCTCTTACTGTCAGAATACATTTATCCTTTTCCATGTCCATATTGTAGATCAAAACTTTATGTGGGAACATGACAGCATTTTTTTTTATTCTGTGAGTATTCTTTGGCATAGACTGTCTGCCCCAGCTCGCCTGTGCTCTCACAGTTTAAAATCGGTGATATCCGCCCCTCAGCAAAGCCACGTACTACTTCTCCCATGCTGCGAATTGTGAGGTTTTAGGATTCACACGTTTCTTCACACATATGCTCAGGGAAAGCTATGCTGTAGTGTAGTAAATGTGTGTTATTAAGAACGCTGCCCTCAAGTCAAAAGCGTTTCTCCAAACTCAGCTAGATACTGTTGAGCAGTTTGATTAACTGAGCTGATTGTTGGGAAGTGATTTATGTCACCCGTGTTTCCCCTGTTTTTCAGAGCAGGTGTGACTTACAGGAAACTTAAAAAGGAAGGAAGATAATTACTTCCCATATATACAGTTGCATGCCAGAATCTTAGTGTTTTAAACATGTTCTCTCCTAATGGAATTTTCTGTACAAATTCTTTATTCCTTCTGTGGTTGTTAGTTGTTGACATCATTAACAGCTAGCTTCTTGTGGTTAGAGTAGTGTGTGTGTGTGTGTGTGTGTGTGTGTGTGTGTGTGTGTGTGTGTGTATGCATGCATGCAGGCGCTCACACGGTTTAGTGACTTAAAATAAGCTAGCAACTATTTGTATTCAAGCGAGAGAAGTAACAGCTGTACTGTTGCCACCCTGTGCCAGGCATTCACTGCATAGTTAGCTGTTGCCAGGCCTTGCAAGAGGAGTGGTCTGCCTCTCCTGGAGAGGAAGTGGTGACTTGATGGGATTCAGAAGTGGGAAGCCGGCTCTGGGGGGACATGTGTTAATGGGATATAGCAAAGAGTTAATGAGAAGCAAGCCTGGCAGGAGAAACGGGAGACTTCAAGAGGCCAGCTGAGGAATGAGTAATTAATTTTTCAGGCATTGTACAAGTAATGAAGGTTCTGGATTGGGTGCTTGAAACAGCACAGTGCTTATTTTCAAGGCGTGGTTTCTAGACCAGAGCATCAGCAACACCTTGGAAACCTATTGAAATGCAGACACTGAACCTCCCCGATGGCCTCCCCACTGGTGGTCAGTGAGGTCAGAAGTCCAAACCCTGGTGATTCTGATGCTCACCCAACATTGAAGGCAAAAATGATTGAAGAGAATTGTAGGCATGCTGAGTAGATAGGACTGGAATGTCAAGGAAGAAGAGTGAGGGACTGTGCCAGAAGCCTTGGGAGTGGTTATTAGGACATAAGTTTGGGTGCTTCCATTGTGAATGAAACAAAAGGAAAACCATTGCAAGGAAGATAATAGGACTTGATGACTAAGTAGTCGTGGGAGTGCAAGATGGGAGATAGGAAGCCAGTGACCTGTGTCTGTGTGTCCCCAAGTGTGACTGACAGCAGATACACACACAAGCCATTCAGGCGGGGAACTTGCCTTCAGAGATCAGAACTTTATTGACCCTTAATTTATAGCTTTTATCTTTTACCCACACCCAGCCATCTACTGTTCTCAACTAGATAACCTTCCCTGTGGGAATGAAAATGAACCAGGCACTCGATACCAATAATCACATTAACTACGGATGGAGTTACTGAGTGCCAAGATGTTTTCTCTGAGCACTCCGTATTCATTATCTCCTTGCTGCTATTCATTAGTTATGAATGTCTGTAAGTTGACTTCCTGCTCTTCCCACCACTTAATGTTTCTAAGCACTGATCTGAGAGGCTAAGCGTCTGGACTCCGGGGTCACACAGCTCTGGGCTTAAAACTTAGCTGCTTTGTGCAGCAGGTGTGTAGGCTGCAGGAAGTGCCTTGCCTAATCTTCACCCTCAGTTCCCCCAGCTCTCTCACAATGGAGACTATTATCATCAGGAGTTGTAATAATGAGTGGCTCTCTTTAGGTTCATTGTGATAACTAAATAGGAAATGCCTGCCTGTACATAAAATCCTTAGGAAATAGTAGTTGAGATTTATGGTGATAATACCAGGCACTTACACAAAACTTCATTGGCTTATGTTGTTAAAAAAATAGACAAAAAATTCCCAGGGCTGGCATGATGGCTCAGTGGTTAATGCACTGACTGCTCTTGCAGAGAGGATCTGGGTTCAATGCCCAGTTCCCATGTGGCAGCTCACAACTGTCTATAACTCCAGTTCCAGGGGAGCTGACACCCTCTTCTGGCCTCCATGGATACAAGCCATGCAGTGGTGCACAGACATACATACAAGCAAAACACCCATGCACATAAAATAATAATAATAATAATAAATAATAAAATAAGCTCCTTAGGCTGGTACTTAAAGCCTTCTACAAAGTGGTCAGGCTTTACCTCCCATGATGTGTATAACTCAGTACTTCACCTTAGCTGGCTATGGTCTCCCTGTGTGCCAAAGCTATTACCCAAACCTTGTCTTGATTCTGTCGCTGCCTTAGTCAGTCTTTGTCACTATAACAAAAACATCTAAGATAATGGATCTATAAAAAGTAAAGGTTTACACTACCCCTCACTTTGGGAGATTCCATTCCATGACCCTTGGCGTCAGTGTTGTGGGCCTGGACCAAGGCAGCATTATCAGAAAGGGAACACATGGCAAAGCTGAACCATTCACACTATGGCCAGGAGACAGAGAGAGGAAATGGACAGCGTCCCTCAGTCCCCTTTGGGGTTATACCTCAGTGATCGAAGGCCATCTTCCTTCTAGTCTCTATCTTCAAAGGGTTTCATTAGCTTCCAGTAGTGTCACCCTGGGGAACAGATCTCTAGTACATGGACCTATGGGGGACATTCAGAATCTAAATTACAGCAGGCCATCCACAGATCCATTTCTGGATAATGACTATGGAGTATTTACAGAAAAGGTCTTGGCTTTTAGTAAGCTCTCTCTGTAGTCAGTGTTAATGTTGGTATTGAGTGTCTGGTGCCTTTTCATTCTCATCAGGTCTGAGTCGCCCAGTGCTCAGCCCAGGAGTCCGTTTTTGATGATCGCTGTCTTGTCTGGAAGGTTGTCGGCAGCACACTCTCATCTGTGATGTGATTAATCCTGAGTTCCTGTGGCTCTGTACCCTTCCAGCTCGATGGCCCATACATAGCATTCACAACAGCCAAGGTCCACCTAGCCATGTTTCTGACACCCCGGCCCCTGCAGTGCTGTGAGGCTCTCTGGCCCTGAGCCAGCAGATGCCACATTAGTAGTAGCTGTGAAACACACTGTGAAGTAGCTCCCACCTTTTTTTAAAGTATGTGTTGGTGAGTTGTTTTTCTCCTTGTTGATACTGGCAATGTTCTCTATAGGAATAACGTCGATCTCTGTAATACTAATCATTTTCTTTTCTTCTCAGGATGAACTTGACCTCACAGACAAACACAGGGAAGCCATGTTTGCACTTCCAGCGGAGAAAAAGTGGCAGATATACTGTAGCAAGAAAAAGGTAAGATACTCATTGTGATCACAGTTAACTAGAAGAGTGTCCCTTCTGATTTCCTCTGCTCTCACATTTCATCAGCAGGACTCAGAAAACTCTTTGTGATGTGCAGACCAGTTTGAACATGTCATGTTGTGGCCTTGCGGCTCCATACAGTAAAGTGCTACTCCTCAGATGTTATTTTTATAAGCAGGTCACTGAGCTCCTCTGCACCTGTTACTGTTATTCATAATTGTGTGTAATTGAGAGCTAAAATAACAAAGGATTGCCTGAGATAGAAGCGTCTTCCCTGCTCCTTATATAGCAGTTTGTATACAGATAGATTAGGGTGAGTATCGTGCCTTTATGTTTACATAAGGTAGTAAAACGTTTTGTTGCCTCTATAGTATGGTCTCATTGTCCCCATAGTTCAAAGTGCTCTTCAGCCATTTCACATTCCAAAGTGAAGAATGAGAAATTAGGCAAAAGAAACATACTCTGTACTCCTACTTTTAGGGACACATTTTAGCAATTTATTACTATTATTTTACGTGTGTGTGTGTGTGTGTGTGTGTGTGTGTGTGTGTGTACCACAGTGCATGTGTGAAAGTCATAGGACAACTTTCAGGAGTCATTTCTCTCCTCTTACAGTGAGTTCCAGGGGTTGAAGTCAGGGCATTTGGGCAAGTGTTTTACCCACGGATCCATCCCGCTGGCCCTCTTCAGGAGTTCTACATCCCTTCAAGCTCACTGATAGGAATGACTGCGCCTTCCTTCTGGGCACTCACTTGCAAATGAAAGCTGACACCATACTACCCCAGGAGATGGGGTGGATGACACTGGGTCAACGGAACTACCCAAACCCTTCCTCCCCAGTCCACGGCACTGGGTATCACTGGGCAGAGAGGACCGAAATAAAGCTCACGCTCCTTCCTAAAGCCTGCACCAGATTCTTAGACCGTCCCCATGTGTGTTTTCCCTCTGTTCCAGCTGAGATTTGAACTAAGTGAGGTAAATGTCCAGGCCAGAGTGGGCACCTAGGAGAAAGTGCTACCTCTTTTTAACATGCTGCAGACACCCTGATTATGCCCTCTTGACCTAGGGACCCAGCAACAAATGGCAACAACCCAGTGTCAGGGAAACTTTTATTAGCTGGTCAGATGCAGTGTGGAGCCTCCATCTGCTTGCTTGGCTGTCTCGCAGCCCCTCTGCCTTGTGTCAGTGGTGTGCCCCCCTCCAAGGAGAACCTCCGTGTCTCAGTAACCAGTGAGCCCGTGTATACTGACTGCTCCAGTTGACAGGAGGTGCTTGTGAGGCCCAGACCTTTGCAGCTGTCTTTTCACGCTTTGGACCAGACTAGTAACAATTGTCCTTCGGTGGGACTATGAATATTACACAAAACTTAAAGCATGTTTCACTTCCCACTTGTGTGGTTAAAACAGGGAAGTGCTATGTCAGATTTCTCTTTGGTGGCCTTTGCTGAAAGATCTATGCAGCTTGGGATCATCCCGGAACCATCATCAGATCGACCCGGATTACAGTCTTGAAGTCCTCATCCTTGAGTAGCTCAGTGTCCTTGTCAGTCAGTCAGTCAGTCAGTCGTCGCCTCTTCTGCTCTTTCATGTTGGACATGTGTCTTACCAGCCAGAAAACTCTTGTGTTGAAGGCCTCCCATAGCTGGAAGCAGCATGTATCATTCACTAGGAAAAAAATTCCAAATGAAAATAAGATGTGTTCAGGCCTGCCCTGATGGATTGATGTGGCCATCTTTTTTCTTCATTTATTTATTTATTTATTTATTTATGTATGTTATTAATATTTGTTTATTGTGTTTGGATGCATGCCATGGTACACACATGTGGCGGCATGACAGCATCTTGCGGGAGTTGGTTCTCTCCTTCCACCATGTGGGACATGGGGATCAAACTGAGATCGTCGGGCTTAAGGGCAAGTTCTTTCCCCACTGAACCGTCTCACTGCGCACAGAGGGCACAGTCCATTTGGTTAATCCTAGTGCAGGTTTTTTTCTTCTAAATTATGAAACATTGCCGGCCAGGGTTTGAAGATGTGTCCCAGAGGATGGGAGAGGAAATGCAAATGGGAGCAGCTTACTGGGGAAGAGGTTTCTTCTTCCTCATATTTTATTACATCCTTGACAGCAATTAAAAGTTAATCATGGAAACTACTGCCCCTTACATTAGAGAAGGCAATTACTAAAAAACAGTAATGACCTCAGGCTCACAGCTGCTGTTCATTTTTCAATTTCCAGGCTTGCAGGATCCCTCTATAGGCCTGTGTGTGTGTGTGTGTGTGTGTGTGTGTGTGTGTGTGTGTGTGTGTGTGTGTGTGT